CCCAAGACTTACTGAACATCAGAGAGAGAAACCTTCCAAGTGTGAAGAGCATGGTAAAGCCTTGTATTGGCATCCACAGCTGACTAACCATCTAAGGATAACTGCTGGAGAAAAGCTTTACACGTATCCAGATGGTGGTAAAGTCTTTCTAGGCTTGTGTCACCTTTCCCAGCATCAGAGAGTTCATACTGGGGAGAAACCTTACAGATGTGAGGAATGTGGCAGAGCCTTTAAACAGCAGTCACATCTTAGTCAACATCACAGAATTCATACTGGGGAAAAGCCTTGCAAATGTAAAGTATGTGGCAAAGCCTTTAACAGTAAGTCAGATCTTGCTCGACATCATAGAATTCATACTGGGGAGAAACCTTACAGATGTGAGGAATGTGGCAAAGCCTTTAACAATAAGTCAGATCTTGCTCGACATCATAGAATTCATACTGGGGAGAAAAATTACAGATGTGAGGAATGTGGCAGAGCCTTTAACCAGCAGTCAAATCTTAGTCAACATCACAGAATTCATACTGGGGAAAAACCTTACAGATGTGAAGAATGTGGCAGAGCTTTTAACCGGCAGTCACATCTTAGTCGACATCACAGAATTCATACTGGGGAAAAACCTTACAGATGTGAAGACTGTGGCAAAGCCTTTAACTACCTGTCAGATCTTTGTGGCCATTACAGAATTCATACAGGGGAAAAGGCTTGCAAATGTAAAGTATGTGGTAAAGCCTTTAACAGTAAGTCAGGTCTTGCTCGACATCATAGAATTCATACTGGGGAGAAACCTTACAGATGTGAAGAATGTGGCATAGCCTTTAACCAGCAGTCACATCTTAGTCAACATCACAGAATTCATACTGGGGAGAAACCTTACAAATGTGAAGACTGTGGCAAAGCCTTTAATCGGAAGTCGAGTGTTACTCTACATGAGAGAATTCACATCAGAGAGAAATGTTAAAACTGTGTAGTCAATTTTTTTACTTTAGTCTTTTTTAACCAGAAGTCAAATCATCCTAAATATCAGAGTGTGAACTGAGAGAAACCCATTAATGAAAAGTGATGAATGGTTTGTCCAAATACAAATTCTGAAACCACCAGATTTTCATACTGGAAACTTGAAAGAAGTGAAATATGAAAAAGTAATTTATTACAAAATTTGGATTCATATTAAGACATTGCAGTACAGTCGGAAGTGAGTAACACTTATCAGACATTCCTTAATGAGAAGATTGTTATGGAGCCTAAACCAACATTAAAACACTAAATATTAGCATAATTGAATAGCTCAAGAGGCCTTCCTGGCAGTGCAGAGGGTTAAGTCACAGCACTATGAAGCTATCTGTAGCCACTGCAGCACGAATTCCCCAGCCAGGGAGCTGACCACATGGAACAGCAGACCTGTGCTGACTTTGCTGCTCCCCTCAGCAGTGTATTTCAGTATACACATCTGTTCTGCTCCCCACTCTGTCTCTGGTGAATTCTCTCACCCCCACGCCTCTGGCCTACACCCCCATCTCTTGTATGCATAAATAAAATCAATGTTAAAAAAATATCAAAGTTCAAGATGATGGTTTGAGAACACGCATAGTCATTTTCTGTGTCTTTTTTTTACTAACCGTTCTTGACATTATGAAGAGACCTGATGAATGTAATTCAGCCCTAAAGCATGTCATTGTATGGCTTTCTCCTCATATGTAAGTCAAGTCATGTGTTTGAAAATTGCTGCTTCATACATCTAAGAGACCCTCCTAGTTGATGAATTTGTTCACATCTTAGTTGCTCGGGCAAATTCACAATGGTGTCACGTAACATGTATGAAGAAAAATCTAAATGGATATGCTGTCTGTGGTTGACTCAAAAGATTGATCTGAATCACCCAGAGGAGTTGTGGACTTCATTGTGGGCATGAAAGTCAGACAGAAACATGCTGAAGTTCAAAGCATTTCATCATTTTCTCCTTCAGGGAATACACTGACAGTTTATTAAAACGCTCATGTTTCTTCACGGTAGTAATCGAGATCATGAATATTACTTGATGCTGTTGCCAGAAGAAATCTTCACTGGCACATGATGATAGTGCAGGTGAGTTTTCATAACAGGGCGTAGAATTCTTGCCCATTCACATTAGCTGAGTCAAGCGTCTCTGTGTTGAACAGAGTGACTCTGGGTTCCCGGTATCGGACAAGATGCTTCTTAAATGCCAAAATCTTGATTTTGACAAAAGAGCACACAGTGGTTTCTGAATGTCTTATTTGGACTATATGTGAGCTTACCATATATTTTAATAAAGCTGATTTCCTTTTTAATGTGGTCATCCTGATGCGTACTTGATAATATTTGTTGATCCTCAGTATTAGCCTCTCCCTCCATTTCAAAACTGTAGGTAACAGAGGGGAACAGCAAGCGGGTTGTCTACACAGTGTCATTTATCACTAGCAGGCTCTGTTCTCAGATACCTTACATCTCAAATAGTTTTGATGAATTTTGCAACAACTACACATTCTTTTTGTTCCGTTAGTAACCCTGGACATTGTCATGAGTGTATAGAATATAATGTAGGATTATTTTTAAGAATTTTGCCTGACACTCCATGATATTGGTGCTTTGCCATCCATTTTTGTACGTAAACTATGGGGACTGAAGTGACACTAGACCCCCTTTTAGAGGTTCCTGCTATACTCTCCATGACACCCTTCAGGATCACAAGGAAATATAAATTCTTCACATGACTTCACATGCAGACATTGGCATGCCTCCCTATCTCTGTGGGTAAAATCTCCACAGAGCTGACAATAAACAATACTTAGTTACATTCATTAAGTAATACCTAATGTATTTCTCCTTTGAGTTTACCTGGAGTAATACAGTCTTCAGGACCTTTGTAACACTGCAGTTAGGGACCTTTTCATGGCCTACAAACACACACATGGTCACGGTTTGGATGTATTTTGAATCCAACACGTACATTAATTGAGACATTACTCAGGAATGACAGTGATTGGAAAGGAAGTGCGTGCTTGTTCATGTTGTGTGCAATGGGAGAGCAGGATGTGCGTAGGGAAGCATGTCCTGAAGTTCTGGCGTGGGCAGCAGTTGCCTATTTTTAGAAGAGGCGAATCCTTCTAAAGCGGGACTGTTTGTACGCGGTGTCTGGCGGGATGGAGGCGTCCTCCATTCCATTTCGCGAAAATCAGGCGACTGTGAGCAGCTCTCACTAAGACCTTTTAAGAAATTGTATGGGGCCTCCCCGGTGGCGCAGCGGTTGAGCGCTGGGTTGCGAAGCTGCCCGCAGCCTCTGCAGCGCCGGTTCGATCCCCGGCCCCCGGGCGACGGTCCCACATGGTGAGGCAGACCTCTCTTGTCTCGCCCGCTGCTTCCCTCAGCAGTGTACTTCGGCAGTGCCTGTTCTGTTCCACGCTCTGGCTCTGGTGAATCCTGTACCCAGTGCTTGTATAAATAAATAAGTAAATAAAGAAATAAAAGAAATTGTATGAAGGGACTTTGGCTCAGCCCTGGCAGCCCAGCAGATTTTGGGGAGCAAGGTGATGCAGGGATGAATGGGGTGTTAGAATACCTTCTGCTGCCCACCTGGCAGGCAAAGACTAAACATGGAAATGCCTTACAAAGAGCTTGAAATAGATGGTTGGCCACGGAGTCGTACCTGCCTGAGGCTGCAGCTCTGAACTAGGGAGTGGAGTGGTGAAGAACCCCATTTGGAATCCAATTATAGGATTCCACAAGGTCCCTATTTAAGGAAGATTTATTTTTATTTCTGCATGCAAGAACGGGAGTCTAGGCCCAAGGTTGGGGGGGGGCGTTTTGAGAAGATTCACCAGAGACAGGGTGGGGAGCAGATGTACTGACATCCAGTGCTGAGGGGCGCGGCGGGGAGACAGGAGAGGTCAGCTGCGCCCTGTCGTCAGCTCCCTGGCCAGCTGGCCGGAGAGGGCTGTCAGACCTCAGTGGCTGGTGAGAGGGTGACAGCGCTGAGCCTTAACCCCTTCACCCCCGGGAGACCCTGTTCAGCTCTTTTTCATTGCAGCCCGCACCCAGTTCTCACCCCGCAGTTTTCAGGGGCCCGTCTACCCGTCCATTGTAACTCAACCTCTGCTCATGCCACCTCCAGGCTGCAAACCCAGCACACAGACGCCCGCGAAGGGCGGCACACGGGATTGTGGGAAATGTAGTCTCGAGCCCACGTGGGCCCAGGAAAAGGCTCTGGGCGGGGCCTCCGGGTTCTGCGCAGGCGCGGCCCCGCCCCAAGGCGGGACGTATGGGGCCTCCACGCGCCGCTGCGTCACAGTTGTGTGCGGGCGTGTCTCGGGGGCCGGGCTCGTGGGGAGATGAGGCGGGCGGGCGAGGGCGAGGGCGGGGGGCTGGGCCTGCTGGGTGGGGAGCGGGGGCCCGGGCGTGCGGGGTGTGGAGTGAGGGGCCCGGCCGCGTGGTGTGGGCAGCGGGGGGAGGGCCCGGGTGCGCGGGGTGGGGAGCGGGGGCCCGGGCGTGTGCAGTGGGGAGCAGGGGCGCCCGGCCGCGTGGTGTGGGCAGTGGGGGTCTGGGGCACGTGGGGTGGGGAGCGGATGGAGAAGCGTCGGGTGAGGCCTGAGGGCGGGCATGGGGGGAGCCCGGGCCCCTGGACGGCGCGGGGGGGCGCGGGTGAGGGGGTCTTGGGGACCCCGCTATGGACACGGGGAGCCCCTCACCGGACCCCTTCGCGCTCCCCGGAGTTCTGGGCGTGACGCCGGCGGCGCGCGTCGTGGGTGAGGAAGCTTCCCGCGTCCCCGCCTTTCAGACGCGCGGGGCGGGACGTCGGGTCCTGACGGGCGCCCCGCGGCCGTTCCCGGGTTTGGGGGGGCGTCTGCATTGCAGCCGATTCCCGGGTGTGCGCGGTGTGACTGGGGGATGGAGGCCGAGGGGACCCTCCGCCTGGCTGAGGCTGGCTGAGAACGTCCCAGCCTTACTGGGGGATTCCCCGGTGCGCCGGGCTGTGTCTTCCCCAGGGGACCGCGTGTTCTCCTGAGCGCTCTGACTGCCTCCGGGCCTCGCCCAGGGCAGGTCCACAGCGTGTCAGGGGGTGTCCACGGAAACCGATGCGGGAAACCGATGCGGGAAGCGGGGCGCACCGAACCATTTCTGGGAGCATCCTCGCAAAACAGTCCATCAGGGGCACCTTTCCCATGAAACTGTGGTCAGCGGTTTTGCAGTGACTAACCATCTTCGGAAACGTTTAAGTTTCTGAACTTTGAATTTCTTGGATCATCACTTGTGTTTCGACGCAGGAGGCAGGTAGGTCGGGCGGGGGCGGGTGTGGGAGAGGAGGGAGGAACCCCATCCCATGGAAGTGTGAGCACAGCTGTCAGCGCGGTGACTCTCTGGGCTCCCAGGCAGTGTGGGGTGCTCTGGGCAGGACACTCCGGGGCCCCGTGCAGCTGCCTCCGTCCTCTGCTGGACTCCAACCCTCTCCCAGTGCCGCCTCCAGAGTCCTCGCGCATGTGAGAGAGCAGCAGGCAGTGACTCCATCTCTGGTGAGTGATGTATTTGCATTAGCTTGTGGTGCACTTCATGGGAGTTCATGACCTGAAGTGTAAATTAGAAGCATAGCTTTCTTGAGGGAACCAACATCACAGGATAACGGTCTAGATCCACGAAATCACATGTCCAGCATGCGTGGAGATTGGGCTCTGCTGTGATGCTCATGCATCAAACTCTGGTTGACATCGATGATAGTGTGGGCTGTGGCTCTTCACCCCGCTGGACAGAAACACTTCCCAGCTCTGCGCTGCTCAGGTGCGGGGTGAGGGAGGATGAGGAGGGGCCTGAGGACCCGAGTGCAGATGGGGGTGAAGGAGCCACGTGTCATTTGAAAAGGACAACTGAATTTTTAAGGTTTCTGTGCAGTTGCTAAAACCTATACTGTGTCCCAGGCCACTCTCGGAGACTTTCAAGCAGGCGTCAGTCTTGGCACATGTGACATTGAGTCCAATGGGGCGTCCTTACATACCTGCCCCTGCCTTTCTCTCAGGTGGTCTGTAAACCCCAGGTGCCCAGTCGGCTGTTCAGGGTCCTTTTTTCTGGCCATTGTTTCCACTGCTCCTGAGCATTTCTCCTTGGTGTGGTCTGAATGCACTTCTAGTGACGCTCATTACATCCTACAATAAGTCCACTTCCACTTCTGTAGCCTTTTTCTCCCCAAATTTCCTGCCATATTTGACAATATCATGTATGACCTTGGGGAAATTTTGGTTACTTTTTTTTTTAAAGATTTATTTTATTTTATTTATTTATTTGTTTATTTATTCATACAAGCATTGGGTACAGTCAGAAGCGCGGGAGGGTGAGAGAATTCACCAGAGTCAGAGCGGGGAGCAGAGCAGGCAGAAGGACCGAAGTACACTGCTGAGGGGAGCAGCGGGCGGCAGGAGAGGTCTGCGCACCTGTGGGACCCTCCTCCGTGGCCACGGAGCAGCCGGGGATCAAACCGGCGCTGCAGTGGCGGCGGGCAGCTTCGCAACCCAGCGCTCAACCGCTGTGCCACCGGGGAGGCCCAATTTTGGTTACTTTTTAATTGTTTAAAATCTTGGGCCTCCCTGTTGGTGCAAGGAGTTGAGACACAGCCTATGAAGCCATCTGCAGTCAGTGCAAGCACGGGTTCGATCCCCAGCCAGGGAGCAACCCACATGGCACAGCAGACCTCTCCTGGCTCACCCGCTGCTCCCCTCAACAGTGTTTTCGGTCTGTCTGCCTGTTCTGTTCCCTGCTCTGTCTGCCTGTTCTGTTCCCTGCTCTGTCTCTGGTGAATCCTCTCGCTGCCCCCCCAGACACTTCTGGCCTGTACCCCAGTTCTTGTGTGCATAAATAAATAAATATTTCAAAAAAAAACTTCCTATACTTGTTTGCATGTTTACTTCCTTTTTTTTTTAAGATTTATTTATTCATACAATAACCGGGGTACAGGCCAGATGTGCGGGAGGGTGAGAGGATTCACCAGAGACAGAGTGGGGAACAGAACAGGCAGACTGATGAAATACACTGCTGAGGGGAGCAGTGGGCGACACAGGAGAGGTCTGCCGTGCTTGTGGGATTCTCCCTGGCCTGCCAGGATCGAACCTGCGCAGCAGAGGCTGCGGACAGCTTTACAGTGCAGCGCTCAACCGCCTGCGCCACCAGGGAGGCCCTGCATGTTTACTTCTTTTACTTATTTTTGGCTTCCTCAGTCTGTCTTGACATGTGTGACACTGAAAGCCTTCTGCTGAAATAGTGGTCAGTTTTCTCTTACATTCCTAATAGGTTTTGCCCTACCCTTTTTACCCCTGTACCAAACCACCCTGTCCCATCCCCCTCTGCCCCCTCCCTTTCTTCTCCACCCTTTCCTCCTTCCCACTGGTGGTAACCTTTGTCTTCTTTTTCCCTCATTCAAGTTGTATTCCTGCTGTATTTTGCCTGTAAATGTATTTTTTGTTTTTATATTCCACAGATGAGTGAAGCCATCTGATACATGTGTCTTTACTTTTTGACTTATTTCACTCCAGGTAATCACGGCCTGGTACATCCATTTTGTCCTCGGTGCACCACTTGCTCTTTCCTCACAGCTCCCCTGCGTGTGCTCCACCCTTCCTGCCCCTGCCTCTGCTGACGGGATGTAGGTTGGGCCATGAATGGGCAGTTGGGAACAGAGCTGCTCTGCTCATGGGTGTAGATAAATCTTTTTTTTGTATTTGAGATTTCACTTTTCAATATATAACTTACAGAAGTATTGCTGATCATGTGGAATTTCCATTTTTATTTCGTTAAACCTCTGCACCATTATCCACAGAGACTATACCAACTCTCATGGCCACCAACCGTGGATGAGAGCTCCTTATTCTCTGTATCCTCTCCACCGTTCTGAATTCCATTCTTCATTTTTATTTGGGCCATTCTCAAGGAGTGAGGTGGCATCTCAGTGTTGTTTTAATTTACATTTCTCTTACAGTAAGTTAAGATGAACATTCCTGTTTCTGTAGGACATTAGAATTTCCTCTCTAGAGAAGAGTTTATGTACTTCCTTTGTCCATTTTTTAATTTTTTTTTTTTTGGTGTTGTTGGATTCATGATTTGTATATATTTTTAAAAGATTTATTTATTTATTTATACAAGTACTGGGTACAGTCAGAAGCACGGGAGGGTGAGAGAGTTCACCAGAGCCAGAGCAGGGAGCAGAGCAGGCAGAAGGACCGAAGTACACTGCTGAGGGGAGCAGAGGGCGGCAGGAGAGTTCTGCGCGCCATGTGTGACCCTCCTCCGGTGGCCAGGGAGCAGCTGGGGATCGAACCGGTGCTGCAGAGGCTGCGGCCAGCTTTGCAACGCAGCGCTCAACCGCTGCGCCACCAGGGAGGCCCATTTTTTAATTTTTTTTAAAAGATTTATTTTTATACAAAAACTGTGGTACAGACCAGAGGCACAAGAGGGTGAGAGAATTCACCAGAGACAGAGTGGAGAGCAGAACAGGCAGACGGACTGAAGACACTGCTGAGGGGAGCAGCGAGCAAGACAGGAGAGTATGCTGCGCCATGTGGGAATCTCCCGGGCCAGCTGGGATCGAACTGGCACTGCAGAGGCTGCAGACAGCTTCATAGGGCTGTGCTCAACCCGCTGCACCGCTGGGAAGGCCCTGTCCATTTTTTTTTTATAAAGATTTAGTTATTTGGGCCTCCCCAGCAGTGCATTGGGCTCAGTGCTGCGCTGTGAAGCTGTCCGCAGCCTCTGCAATGCCGGTTCAGTCCCACACGGCCAGCAAGGGTCCCACGTGGTGTGCAGACCTCTCCTGTCACACCCGTTGCTCCCCTCAGCAGTGTATTTCATCAGTCTGCCTGTTCTGTTCCCGCTCTGTCTCTGGTGAATCCGGAGACTAAGTTACTTAGTCTAGGTACTAAGTTACTGAGTTACTTAGTTACTTTCCTCCCACGAATCTGTCCTGTAGTAACCCAGTTCTTGAATAAGTAAATAAATCTTTAAAAAATAATAATAGTAATTCAAAACTTATTCAACATCATGGAATTCATACTGGGCAGAAACCTTACAAATGTGAAGAGTGTAAGAAAGCCTTTAAGCTGAAATATGTCTTAGCATCAGAGAATTCATACTGGCCAGAAAGCTTACCAATGTGAAGTGTGTGGCAAAGCCTTTAACAAGAAATCACATCTTACTTGACATCACAGAATTCATACTCGAGAGAAACCTTACAAATGTGAAGAATGTGGCAAAGCCTTTACCTCGATGTCAAGTGTTTCTGACCATTACAAAATTCATACTAGGGAAAAGTCTTATAAATGTAACAAATGTGGCAAAGCCTTTAATAATAATTCAAAACTTACTCAATATAATAAAATTCATACTGGGGAGAAACCTTATAAATGTGAAGAATGTGGGAAAACCTTTAACCAGCCATCACATCTTAGTCAACATCATAGATTCATTCTGGGGAGAAACTTTACGAATGTGAAGAATGTGGCAAAGCCTTTACCCAGAAGTCAGGTCTTACTCTACATCACAGAATTCACATCAGAGAGAAAGGTTAAAATTGTGAAGTAAATTTTTTGACTTTAGTCTTTTTAGCCAGAAGTCCAGAAGTTTAACCAGAAGTGGCAAAGTGATTATCCAGAAGTCAAATCATCCTAAGCATCTGAGAGTGCCTACTGAGAGAAACCCATAAATGGAAAGTGATGAATGGATTGTCCAAATATATGTTTGGAAACCACCAGATTTTCATACTGGAAACTTAAAGAAGCTAAAATAGGAGAAAGTAATTTATAATGAAAATTAGATACATATTGAGACATTGCAGTGCAGTAGGAAGTTAATTACACTTGCCAGACATTACCTAAAATGAGAATATGGTTATGGAGCATAAACCAAGATTAAAACACTAAATATTAGTGTAATTTAAAAGTTCAAGAGGCCTCCCTGGTGGCACAAGGGGTTAAGTTGCAGCATTGTGAAGCCACTGCAGCACAAGTTCCATCCCCATCCAGGGAGCTGACC